TGAAATAGTATTACAATTTCTGTGTTTCCTTCTTCAACTTATCACAGCAATAGTAACAACAATTAGGTAATCATTGGCTGTCGCGGGCCGGATTGATGACACTAGCGGGCCGGATTTGGCCCGCGGGCCGTAGTTTGGAGACCCCTGGACAAGTAGATCGTTGTTGCTTTTGATTATTTTGTTTTTTATTTTATATATGTTCTTGCATTGCTCAAGTTTAAGTAGACATTCAATTGGGTGTAAATCAGTCTGTGAGAATAAATTATTTGTGTGGGTTTGAAATAAAATTTTTATCGATTTATTTTGTAGCATTTGATTTTTTTTGAAATTAGTAATGCCACAATTACCCCATATAATTAACAGATACCTAAGATTTGCCAATATATATGCATTGTAAATCAAGTATCTATTACTGAAACTCAAGTAACTGCAACACCTATATAGAGCTCCTAATATTGGTACAATTTTATCATTAATATGTTCTATGTGTCCTGACCAGTTTAACCTATTATGAGTCCCAAATACTCGGTTTTTACAACATTCATCAAGGGTAAGTTATTTATTCTCAATTCAATATTTCCACAAATTCTATTTTTTTGTTTAAATAGCATGTAAACGGTTTTTGCAGAGTTCACCTCAAGTTTATGTGCGAGCCAGTTTGAGTATTTAGAGAGATCTTCATTAACTGTGTTCTCCAGTAAATGTAAATCATATCTGCTGTACAAAAGGACCCTGTCATCGGCGAACGAAAAATACCTTCCCTTAAGCCCGGCCTGCCTCAGTGACAGTAACATCAGTGTATACAACAGGGGTCCTAAAATGGATCCCTGTGGTACGCCACAATTATTTTTTATATGCTCACTCATGCTCTCACCAACAGCGACAAACTAGGATCTTTACTTTAAAAATGTCTCAATGATAGAATTAGTTTTGCCCCTTATACCCATGCAACATAGTTTGTTCAGAAGAACAGTATAGTCAACAACGTCAAATGCCTTTCTTAAATCAATGAACACTGCAATAACCATTCCTTTTTCATCCAATTCCGCTGTAATATTATGAATGAAATCTGCTGCTACCCTTGATAAAACCATACTGGCACTCATCAAATCCCACATAACCATCAACAAAGTCCATTATTCTTGTCTATATTATAGTTTCAATAATTTTAGAGAATGAGCACACAATTGTTAAAGGTCTACAATTTTCTAAGTTTTTGTTATCACCACCCTTAATATTGGTATTACTTTTCCAGTCTTCAGTATCTCAGGAAATACCCCCGCTTTGAAAATATCGTTTATCAAATTAACGAGTATAGAAATGACATTTTTTTCAATTAATATTATGTCTTCAACGGATATGCTGTCGTGCCCTGCGGCATAGTTTTTATTGAGTGCATCTATGACTTCAGATACCTCTTTAGGATTGGTTTCCTTTAGGAATACTGAGTTGCCACACGATAGTTCCTCAAAATCTACACTTTAATAACTATATTGGAAATAATTGATTGACCTATGCTAGTAAAATACCTGTTGAACATATTTGCCACCTCTTGAGGGTCAGTGATAGTTCTATCATCTGTAACTAATTTAACTGACTCGTTTTTTTCCTTCTTTATATTTATTATCGTGTTTATTACTCTCCATTGTTTTTTTGCATAGTTACCTGCTTTTTACCATTCTGCTTTGAAATAAATTGATTTTTGTTTCCTTATCTCATTGGTAACTTTATTTTTCAATACTTTAAAGTCCATCCACAGTTTATTTATATTTTCAGAATTTGGATATGTTCCATATATTTACGATTTGTCTGAGAACAGGAAAAAGTCGCTGGGGGTCAGACCTGGAGAATACGGTGGAAGCCCAGTTCATGGAATTTTGCCATGGTTTTCATTGATTTGTGACATAGTTTTTTCTTTTTCATGATAGTCGATGAATATTATACCATATGCATTCCAAAATACTGATACGATAACCTTGGCGTACTATAAAAATAGTATTAAAAATTGTATGACCGCTATAATCGTTATATCGCCCTCGAAAGCAACTATATCGAAAAATTAAACAAGTTTTTTAAAAAAATCTTCTATGTTAGCCTACAAACTTTTTAGCCCAACTGTTATCTTACCTTTCTTTTTGGAAGTCGGTATACAAGTAAACGCCACCATCCTCAGATCCAATCCTTTGTTCAACCACAGTTTATCCATCAGTCTTATCATCTGCAAGGTCAGCATATCCTGCTGCAGGTCGTCGCCAACTTTGTAAATCGCCGCTCTAAGCGAACTGTCTTCCATCAAAAAGTTGATTTTCAGCGGCAGAGTATTCGAATTGAAATATGACGATGACTGAATGTCTACACCTTTAACTCTCAAAGTGGGCGACAACGGCAGGCTTGTGGTGGTTTCCTGGAGGTCTTTGTGGATTTGTCCGAGGGCGTTGTGGAGTACGGTCAAACGATGAGACTCTTTGGTTTTCTTCACTTCTTCCGCTATATCGTTGAGTTTCTGTAGCAACAAACAGAATAGGCTCATTTTCGAAAAAAGATTTCTAAGTGAATCCGATGCTTCAGAAAATAGTCACAAAGAAACAGTTGAGCGGAAGAGCAATTTCTGCTTCCAATTTTTTCATCTCCTTCTCAACAGTTTCTAAAAAACAATAACATACTACTTTGTTCAAGAAGTGAGGTGAATTTTCTCAAAAAAATATTTATTTATTCATCTACTAATTTGTCCCTTTCAAAGTAGTCTCTATCAGATAAAATACACTTTTGACAGCGTTTTTTTTCAATTATTGAAGCAGTTCTGATATGCACTTTTTGTTGCCCTCATTAAAGACTTTTTCATTTATAATTTAGGGAAGTTTTAAAGGATTTTTTTTGTGAGAGAGCCTATTATAATTAATCAGAGTACTATCAAGATACTTTTTGATTCGACTTGTGGCTGACTCATTTTATGTAATTAATAGTGAACATTTTCCAAATAAACTCTTATTGGCTATATTCGTGCAAGTTATGTATTGTGCTATGTAAATACTAACTGGTTTTATTTTTTTGTTCTTTGTACATATGTTCAATAACTACCTAAAATTTTATTCAACAACTATCTGCCAATGTATATTATTTTGTAGTGTATAGTTTTCGAGAACATTACTCGAATAATTATAACTTGACAAGTAGCGATAGCTACAATGTGCGAATTTATTTCTAGAATTATTTTAACCAAGTTTTGTCAATAAGATGTTAATCTTCAGACAATAAAGCATATTTTGACTTTGACTTATCCTTTTATGGGTTTCTTCAATCTTATGAACAGGAAAAAGTCGCAAGGGACCAAATCTGGTGAATGCAGAGGCCGAGGCATGACAGACGTTTTTTTTGTCAAAAAAATTTCGAACAAGCAACGACAAATGAGCAGGTGCATAACTTCAAGATAATACTCCTTATTGACCATACGACCATGTGGCAAGGACTCCTGATACACTACGGTAACTACGGTACGGTAATCAAAGAAAACAGTGGGCAAAACCTTGACATTTGATCGAACTTGGCGTGCTTTTTTGGTCTTGGCTCTCCTAGGCTCTTCCGTTGGGATAATTGGACTTTGATTTTGATGACATAACCGTATTTGCATTAACTTCGTCTATACGAAGTTAATCCGAACAGCTAAATAAAAGACTAATGGCATTACTCTTTATTTCTAATAAAAAAATCCGTGAAAGTTTATGAAATAAAATTAATTTTGAGAAAAAAATATGCCACACCGCCCATGCATATAAAGAAACTGCCGACGTTGAATGAAGCAATTATTTTTATGGAAATAGCTTGAAGAGCTGATAAATTGGCCATATGAGAGAAATAATATTTGTGAGAGCATTAAAATGATGAAACGCTATTTGATTCATGAAGAAAAGAATGTTAATACTTTGTAGGGAATAAAACTAATTTATTGAAAAAAATCAGTTTTGAATGTCAAGCATTTTTAAAATTTTGTTTCAAAACAATCCTCAGTGATTACTACCCTATAAAAATATACTATGCTGACGGAATTCCGCCAGTATTGTTAAGGAATTGCTGTCACAGTTTATCACATCCCCTTAAAATACTTTTTCAAAGATCATTTGATACAGGGATTTTTCCAGGTGTTTGGAAAAAATCTTTCCTTTCTCCAGTATTCAAAAGTGGAAACAGAAATGATATTCAGAATTACAGGGGTATCTCGAAAATTTCTTGTATTCCCAAAGTATTTGAATCTTTAATTACGGATGAAATATTCAATAATTTCAAACACGTCATAATAGATGAACAACATGGATTCTACAAGGGAAGGTCTACTGC